ATGGATTTTTATTTTTAATTTTCACTCAACCGGTTTCACTGTGTTTATACAGCATCTTCAGGAGTTATCGTCAATTCCTTACAAAATATACATTAGATTCATTCATTTGGCACTTCCTCACTTGTTCCTACCGTTAGATCATGTAAATGATTCCTTTAAGTTGTGATTATGAAAGATTAAAACATTTTAGATAATTGAAGCGTCATGGAGTCATGGAGTCAACTCCATGACTCCATGACACATGGTAGTAAGTTAAGAAAATTCCAATAGATTGAGCACTTCAGAACGCTTTGAACAAACTGAATTTTTTTCAGTAGGAACTCCTCCTTTAGTATTAGCTGAGGTCTACAACGACTGACCAGCGACTGAGTGGACAATTTTAGTCTTTATATGACTTTCCATTAATTGTATCAACTCATGTTTTCCGAGATAGTGATCCATCAAACTAAATCTATAAAGTTGTCGCTAGTTTCATTTAAATCTGACTGGAATATTAATTTCATTCTTTAGCCTCTGAAGGCCTAAGTATGAGATGCTATAAAATTTGTAATTTCTAAAATGTCTCTCCAGTAATGTCTTCCATGCTCAGCTTGAGTCTGGGCTAAAGAGCCAATATTGGTAAGCTTTTTAATTCCTTCTTTAAATTTAATCATTTCAACACACAATCTTTGTAGAGTCCGCTAAACACTTCTTTTTCACTGGATGCAATTCCACTGTTTTCTAATCCCAACACGCCACGTGAAAATAACTATGTTGAAGGAATATTTTCGGCAGGTTAGGGTTGGAGTGCAATAATGTGTCCTTGTACTTTCAATCAAAGAAGGATTTTTAGAGGTATCTTGACCATCACTATTTATACATTTATATTAAAACCCACTAATATCTTCTTCTATCTACTTTCTTTTGCTCATTTCCTTTCTGACCCGACTCAAAGTTTCTACGGCTTTATGATCATGCGAATTTAATAAGTCCTGCTAATCTAATAATATAAAATTTATTAAAACTTAATAGCATTTAATATTTTTTATTTACCTAAGTAACTATAAATAAACAAGATATCTCATAAAAATAATTACTATCTCTATAAAAATAAATGAGAAATTTTATTTACCCAATGTATATTTTATTACGAATTAACCAAATTTATTTTAATGCTACAGGTATAATACAATAGCTAATGATAAAATAACATGTTTTAATTACCAACTTTTTCTAGTAGAGTTGTTGCATAAGGTTCCTGTAAGAGCGGAGCCCCGAGCCATTAGTAGCAACAAGTTGAGAATTCACAAGCCAAATCAACATAAACGTCAAAATGGTCACTTTTTACTTAATACTACAGCGTTTAACAGGATTTTTAAATCTGCATCCAACAATTAAAGCGACATAACCACAAACAAATTTTAATCGTTAATTTTTTAGCATAAAGTTCTTCTTTAGCTGAATCTGAGACTAATATCTCGATTCAATACTTCATCAAGCTGTAGTTCTGATACTTTGTTTACCAGGAAACAGTTACTTTTGCAGTTTTAATATGTAATTTGTATGGGATAACGGTCATCTTCATAGGCTTCCTAATATGCAACGGTGTAACATTCTATTTCCTCATAAATTTTATACATTAATCCCAGATTTAACAATCCTGGATTACATGCGATGGTATATCCTTAAATTGCAATTGAAAATATGGCTACACTGTTAAAAAGACGCGTCTCTCTAAAATGACTTTCATGTGCGGTATTTTGCGTAACATATTGAAAGAAACCCTTGTCTTTAGCTGAACTGCTAAAAGAAAACCAAAATGATGATAGTAATGAAGTCTCGGAAAAGATGCGAATGTTTCCACCAAAAAATTCAAGATGGTGAGAAAAAATCGTCAAAGCCACGAAATGTCTATATGATATCTCGATAAGATAAACTATCATATTCCGATATTATATTTCGTAATTGATTAAATTTAGCATTGTTTATTTTACACATGGATCTACAAGGGTTTCGATCTCAAATTTCTTTTATAACGATTATAAACGTAATACAACAGAATATTTCTGTTCCCTTTAAAATTTCACTTTTATGAATCTCTGCAGTCTATAAAAAGAATCGTCCAACGGAAACACGGTGAATAAATTGACATCAAGTGAAAGCCGTCTTGCGGAAGTTTGTAGCCTCTAAGCTTTTCTATAAGTTGAAAAGTCTTTGAAATATTGTAATATATCCCGACATTTCAGTGCCATTTCAAAATATGAAAATAAGGATGGCTTTAAAAGTATTCTTATGGAGCTTAAGTAAAAGTTATGTTTATTCAGCAAACCTTTTATACTTCGTACCATTTACAACTTCACGTTCTTTTGTATTTAAATCTTTAATGATGTTTTGGAGAACTATGAATAATCATCAAATTGAAATTTATTAATAGATTATTAATAGAGAAAATTGCTTAAATTACTAACAATATTGTGACAAATATATTTGTGACATATTTGTATAATAAAGTACATGAGTTACATTTGAATTAATTTAAAAGAGTACGGTTCAAAGACCATCAAACACAAATGTTTGAATAAAAAAAGTAAGTTTATAGATACTTCTATTAAATATCTACAACAAGTTAAAGCGGTTGAATCAATACCGGAATTTCCAAATACCAATGAATACCGAATTACTCATTACAATTCTAATTTAGAAATCATCAGACAATTAAAGTAATTGCTCATACTTCTCGTGCTATAACCCTAACTCGTCAAATTACAAATCAAATTACAGTCAAATTGGTAAGGAGTACTTATTTTTGCAAATAAAAGATTTATAAATTTAGATATGTAAGATTAATTACACTTTGTACACTGAAACTCAAGACATTCAGTGAACACGTTTTTACATCTCTTTCACATTACAACTCCAAATCACTTACTTTATAACGAATATCCCATTTTCGTTTAATGCATATCAAGCTATTATATGCCTTGCTGATTTCTTTATACTTTTGTTCCCCTTATCACGATTTGATATCGATTGATACACTGGCCGATAAAAAAATGTTTTGTAATAAATATAAAGAAAAATAAAATAAACAATATGTAAACAATGTGTATAAACAACAAAAATATTTATTTGGAACACTACATCTGTCATCATCATTGAGCAATTTTATAATTTGTAGTCCAATAAAAATGTCTTTTTAATTTTGCGCCACTTAACTGGGGAGTCTTGTCTAAGATATTTAAATCTTTCAGCCCAAATTTAATGTGAAGAGGCTACAAGGGGCATCCACTTAACATTGTGGCATTTCTTTGGCTAATAAGTTCCAACTGTTTTTTTTGACAACCGTAAATCATTCAATTTACTTAAGAGTATTATCTCCCAGAACAATGTTTTGCCAATATAAAGCTGTCTTATATTACAGGTCTTATGGCAGAATGCAAATTTGAATATTCAATATTAAAAATGATATGTGTGTTCTCGCTGGTGCAACTGCAAAAAACACACTTTTTCTCTTCTCTTTCATTCACTGCATCAACAACGCTGCACATTTCCCGAAAATGGCTTCTAACTTCATCAGATATTTTACAAAAACATAACAAAACTGGTTAGGAGAAAGTCTTTCAAGACTATCATTCTATGGTTAGTGAATATTAAAAATACCGCCCTACCAGCCTTCATCCCTAACTTTAGTCGAAAACTTCACTCATATGGTCTGTCGTTAAGTAATATTCCAGATTAGCTGTCCGTCTATGATTTTGAGCAAATCTTAATTGATAACCAAGAATAGTAGGAAGACCTTGAACAATAAGCGCTATAGTAGAAGTGTTAAAGTGTCTTTGCGTAAATGAAGACGTATTTTTTGATATTTAAAAAGCTACCATAACTGACATATTTAGTAAACAACGTTGTTATGAAGTGCATGCAGGTGATTACGCCTAATTAGGTTGCTATGTTTATGGAAATAAATACTTATTTGGGATTTGGGACAAACCTGAAGGATAAGATCCAAATTTCACCTTTCATATTGGACAAACTTATCTATCCTTTATTGCAGGGGTACATATGAAATATCCTTCAGCCACCCTGACTTTAAGGCACAGTTTATTTTATCATAAAAGCTGTTATAAGTGTTGTTAGTACTCCGCATATTCGGATTTCACATTTACTACTTGTCCTGTACTTCACATCTATTTATGTTCTGAATGAAATAAAACTAAAATTACTTTCATGCAGTTGAATATTTATTGTATTTGCAAAAATAAAGCGGGGTATAACGAGGTAATTGTAACATATTTCAACGCGATCGTACCATCTTCAGAGAACTTGGCAAGTAACACAGAAATAAAGCTCAATGAAAAATACTAAATTTATTTAGCAAATAAACATTTTTTGATTAATAATGCCTTAGGGTCAGATAATCAAGTAAAGAGAAATACAAAGACACAAATAACCCTTGATTTATGGCTTGTTATAATCTGTGATGATTATATTGTTTATTAAAAAAATAATATTAAAAACAAAGAAAAATAAAAGAATTATTATGTATGACAGGATTTTTAACATTTAAGATTTTTAAATATAAGAAATTATTATTCTTATTAGTTTTATTGTAGTTTCGAGTGTGTAATTAAACGATGAATATTGGTAAAAACGTTCTATTTTATTTATTAATTAATCCAAATATTATTTATGGTTAGATAATTTTAATCCAAACATGTCCAAACATTTTTTTTTCTTCTAAACTCATTAATCCGTATAATCCTATTTTATTTTATTATATTTTATACAGTTTTTTTTTGTAACGTTTATTTATTTATTACAAAAAAAAACAACGCATGTCCCTCACACGTCTATAAACGCGTTTTAACACTCGACACTATACTCAAGCAACACTCAAGCGTTTGCGTATACAAAACGGAAGAAAAAAAATTTCATTTTTAAAACGTTTTTAGCGCACGCGCTCGAAATTTTGCGCGAGACAGCGTGGGTAAAGAGCGCGATTTCAAACGGAGTTCGCGGCATTCGTGGTCGAGTGTCGCCGCGATTGAGAGCTTTCACTTTATATACGAGGCTCTTTGAAACAACATTTTAAAGACAAGAGAGAAATAATTTCAAATTTCTACAAGAAAATTAATCGCCAAAACGATTTTAAGTAACACGTGTTAGATTTATCAATGACTGACTGTTTGCTGCAAGTGCAGCAGGACTTTGACCGTCCGAGAATGGCAGATTCAACAAAGATGAGATCGCGACAAGAAAGTACCGAAAGTGTCACCTCTTCGAATGCCACCGAAGGTTCTTGTGAAGATGATAAGGATAATGAAATGGATGATTTACATATTATTAAAACAGTGGGTGAGTATTCAAAGAAAATTTAAAACTTTTTATTGATTATTATTATTATTTTTTGATTAAGTATTAATTAAAACTTAAAGGGCGGTGTTAAATAATTCAAGATGTGAGTGGTGTTGCCCCAGTTCTCACGATTTTTTAGATTTTCTTGGTTTCATTGTATCGATAAACGTGTAATGACGTACCATTCCTATCACTTTTTGATCAAATATTTACAAGTTACTATTTCTGAGGGCTAGGTCAGTTCTAATTAAGTCTAAAACTTTTTTAAATAACCTTGCAAATTTTCATTCAAAAAAACCGTTTTTTCCTTAAAAATTTTTTTCCTTAATAACAAAATTAAGGTAATTATGAAAATTTTAAAATAGATTATTTAATTGTTACATAATTATACTTTGATAAACAAAATTGCTTCTAAAAAATGAATAATAAAAATCACGGTATTAAATAAGGAAATTAAAAAATTACTTTGCCGGGTATTTAAATTGTTAAAACAATTATAAGCTATCTTTATAATCTTTTTATCATCTATTTTGTAGGGTTATCTTAGAGTGGATATAGTTCAAAAAAGTTTTAATCCTACTGAAAAATAGTAGATCATATTTAAGTATAGTTGCTTTGTGACTTTTATCCAACAAAAATGCTATTATTTATCTTAATCATTGAAAAAATAAAACTAAAATTAATAATTCACAAAGTGTTAATGATAAAAGCTGCATCTTAAGAACTAAAAATAAAAAGTCATAAAAACCAGACAGAAAACATTAAAAATCATATAAATAAAAAATATCTTATTGTTTTCGGTTAAACTTTTATTACAATACTTCATTTTTATATCTGAAAACATGATCTCAAATGTTAAAAATAAATAGATAAATTTTTAACAATTACTATTCATTATGTAATTACTTTATGTTTCTTAACTATACACTGAAAATTTTATTTTGTTATACTTATTATCTAATCTAATTTATATGTTAAGCTGTTTTGTTTTGATGTGATTTTTGCGATTTGTGGTTGTTGATACTGATCTAAAAACCGAAACCTCTATACCAAAGTGTGATTTCAATTCCTTTGTTTATATACGCAATCTTGTAATACGAAGTGGACAACATTATCAATGATATCACTTTAAAAAACAAAAACATTTTAATGCAAAAGAAAGTTAACAATTTATAAAATTTCTTTTTATTACGATTTATTTTTTAAAACTTAAATAGTAATCTTTTTCGTTGTAAAACTTACAAGTTTTTATAACATCTAAAATCCAGTATTAACGAATTTTGTAAGGTCGTAGTGAGCGAAGAAAGTGTTTGGCACGGATTTTGTCTTTCATTTTCACTTCAATGGCGTGTACAGAGAATTTTAAGCATCTATTCAAGGTGATTCCGAGGAAGTTAGGAGGATGATTATCAAGTATATTCTCAAATATTTAATATTCAATTCATCTATGGACGCTGCGGCTATGGGATACAAGTTAGAGTTGTGAATACGAAGCCAGAATAAGAGTGGCATTTGCTATTTGCATTCTGGCTCTAATACTACTCAAAAGGATCCGAGCTGTAATCGGATAGAGATAATAAAGATTCACCTAAGATTTTGGTTGATTTGATATTAGTTGTAGAGCCTCGGTCACAAGCGAACTCGCCTTAATTAAGCAAAATCCTACTGGCACTGTTTTGGGTTTAGCGATAAGGTTGCTTGCAGCCGAGGCACTGCAATGTATTGACCATCTTCCTGTTGATATGATATTAATTGTAAAAGCTCGGCCGCAAGCGATCTCGACTTAATAAGACAAAAATTCAACCGAGGCGCTACAATTTTTGACATGAGCTTAATCGATCAAAATCCTACAGTCATTATTCTTAGTTTAGACGAAGTCACTTTCTATATTATTAGGAAACGCTTTGAAAAGCCTTTGAACTGATGGGGCCAAAATAAAGTTATCCTATGCCATAAGGTTTACGGCAGATGCCATTACCTGATATTGGAGTATTGTTATAATTAGGGCATGGTAAATATGAATTTTTCAATTGCATAATACGGCGGATGATACGACGGGATTTTGCTTTTTATTTAAATGTGTCTTAAAAATCTTTCCCATTAGGGGCAGTAATGAGAGTAATAAAAGTATTAACTAATATTACAATCAATAATAATACTGTCCGACTGAGAGTACGCCTAATATTAAAGATGTAAGAAAGAAAAAAAAATGGTGCGAAAAGAGTCTCCTGGGCAACACCAGAAGTAATACATCTCAATGTAAAACGGTAACTGATGCTCATAGTTTGTGGTCTGTTGGAAATGTAAGATGTCCAATCTTTTGGTCATTTTCCTGTGCTCCATATTTTGATGCATCGATCTAAAAGTATTTTACAATCGGATTGATCAGCACTTTGAAAATTTCTGCCTCGATTTGATCTACTCCAAAGGCTTTATTTGTCTTTAGATGAAATATAGCTTCTATCATTTCTTCCTTCAAGATCTTTTAAGAGAAGTTATACAGATAAAGAATAATTGATAGAATTATATATATCAGAGGCTTGGAGAACACCCATCAATGCATTCATGATATATTAAACATTGTAAAGATAAGTGATTTTAAAATAGATTCCGGTTTTTGCAGATCGCTGCACTCACATGGTGGAGTCGCTATTTATGCTAGAGAAACAGTATCCCTCAGGCCCTTATCTTTTGATATTGTGAGTTACTCAAATGAGATGGACTTTGAGGTTGCAGGGATTAATTGTAATGACATACAAATTGTAATCGCTCTCCTCGGGGTAGTTTTAACTCTTTTATGACGAGATTGGACATGGTACTGAGCAAACTAATGTTGAATAGGAATATTGTGCTGACCGGCGATTTTAATGTATCGGCTCTGTTCTTTATGCAGATCTTATGGCTTGGTCAGGACAAATTATGAGAATACCAGAAACGATGCATGTTTGGACAACGTTTTCACAAATATTCGAAAGTGTTTTATTTCTCCAGTGTTGTTGATCCAAGCTTGTCCGACCACTTGGCTATTTATTTTAAATGTATAGATTCGGTAAAGCCCTCAGTTGCAAAAAAAAAAACAACCTATAGACATATTACAAAGCTTGGTCTATTTCCTTTCTATAATAATGTTGCAAAGATAAACTTTGAATTCTTTGAATTTGATGTCTAATACTCATTCTGAACTAAATTTGCATTGGTTCAATCGTGACATTAAATATCTTAGAGAGAAGTTGCACACATTAAATGATTTTCATAGGCGTTATCCTGAAAATGTTGGGCGGCACGATATACAAAGGCATAGGAGGCTGTATCGTGAAGCAATAAAAATAAATAAAAAGAATGCTAATACTATATAAAAAATGCTAAAAATACTCAAGTTGCCATGTGGAAAGTATTTAATAGCAACAAATTATCAAATAAATCTCCCATCGATGAAAATGTTAATGCAGATGATTTCAACAGGTTTTTTAGCAACGTTGCTGGGAGTATTATTTCACCCATCTCGATTAATGTGAGAGATGCTAAAACACGCAGCTATGACAATCAACCTGAGGATGCCGCCAGGGTTAAATTTAGGTTTGCGGAAATGAGTTGTATCCAGCTACGTGATGTTCTCTGTTCTTTAAAAAGTTCATCGAGTAAAGATGCCTATTCATTGAACGCTGCATTGGTGAGGACTGTTGTTGATCTTATAAATATTCCTCTATATAAGTTGATTAATCAGTGCATCGTTTCCGAAACTTTTCCTTCCTGTTGTAAGGTCGCGAGAATTGTGCCTGTGCACAAATGGGGCCAAAAAGGGGACAAACTAACGATGTTGCGAACTATAGGCCCTTTTCTATTATACCCATTTTCGGTAAAACTTTTGAGACTGTGCTGAAAAATCAAATTGTGTTTCCTAGAAGAAAACAGTTTATTGCACTCTGCCCAATTTGGGTTTACGAGAGGTAAATCGACGTCTGCTGCTGTCAGTAAACTTATGGAATTTGTGTTGCGTTGCTTTAATGATAGGTTATATGCCCAGGTATCCTTTTACAACCTGACAAAGGCATTTGACTGCGTCTCCCACGACCTCCTTCTGCGTAAGCTCTGTCTCCTTCATTTTGATAATAACAGTGTGAGTTTAATAAAATCCTATCTGGAAGATCGCGTTCAATATATTACATATAATAATCAGTTATCTGGTAGTTTGCCTATCAAGTACGGAGTCCCACAGGGCTCGGTTCTTGGCGGTATATTATTCATAATATTCATAAATTATCTGTTAACCCATTATTCTTTTTGCCGATGACCCCAGTGCATTGCAGAAATCTGTTAACCTGTGTGATCTGGAGCAACTAGTTGATAAATCCCAAAAAAATATTTTTAACTGGTTTTCTGAGAATCGTCTTAGTGTGAATGAGCACAAAACAAAGTCCCTAATTTTTTCATTGAGGCCGCAAACTTTAAATGACAATAGCTTGAAGAGCATGTTCTTCATTTGATTAAAAGGTTAAATACCAGTATTTATTTGATTCGTAGCTTAGTGAGAATGGTGTCGCCGAAGATGGCACTTGCTGCCTATTTTGCACATTTTTATTCTCATATGACGTACAGCATTTTGTGTTAGGGGCATTCTGCTCATGCTTCGCTTGTCTTTGCAGAGCAAAGTTTATTGAATTTGGAATTCTGACTTTATCTTGTGCGTACATTTTCAATTGTTTACTGTTTATAAAGAATAACTTATACGGTTACAGCAGAAATCGGGATTATCATTCTTATAATACTCGGAATAAAGGTGACCTTGTTTCAGATTTTACTCGAACGACAAGGGCTAGATGTGGCGCAAATTTTTACGGTTTAAAATTATATAACGCTTTATCAGAACGAGTGAGAAATTTGGAAGCACTGAAATTTAAAGTAGTATTAGAAAGGTATTTACTTCATAAGGCCTTTTACAGTGTGGATAAATATTTAACCAGTAATTTTACTGAATTGATGTGGTCATCTCGCCGTTTTCA